ATGGTATTTTTTCCTCTCACCTATGCATACTTAAATGTTTCCAGTCTTCTTCTTCCTCCTCTTCTTCTTCCTCCTTCTCCTTCCCCCACCCCCCCTTCCCTTTCCTCTCCTTCCCCTCCTCCTCCTTCTTTTGTGCCAGTCTAGGGCTTAAAACTTAGGGCCTGGTGGCTGTCCCTGAGATTTTTTGCTCAAGGCTAGCATTCTAACACCTGAGCCATACCTCCACTTCTTTTGTGATTAACTGGAGATAAAAGTCCCAGGGACTTTTCTGCCAGGGCTGGCTTTGATCTCCAACCCTCTATGCCTCCTGAGTAGCTAGGATTACATGTGTGAGCCACTGGTTCTGGCTTAATTGGCCATGTTTAATGGCTGAATAATTTTAGGCAAAGCAAGACTTGCTATCACTAAACATTTTGATATGTTAATCATCTTGCCAGGGTCTCAACTATATACTACATAAAATATTCAAATGTTAATGTCTCTACAACAGACATCTACCAACCCACATGATGACTTGGGAGAGTAAATATATCTATGTTCTCTTTGCAAGCCTAATCTTCATGCTGCCCCTTATCCCTGTGCAGCTAACTACTGGCTGCCACAAGAGTTCTTACACCCAGAAGACTCTGTCTCTAAGAAGGGGAGACCAAAAGCCACATGTCAGAAGATTTATGGGGCCACACTGGCATCTTCCATGCAAGAGACTGGCAGCCAGGAGTAACCCAGTCCCCCAGAGTACCTAAATACGTTAAGATCAAAAGAAAATAGGCATAGGGAAAGATCTCATGTGTAGGCCAATCAACACCATACAAACTGGAGGCCTCTTCACCCGATATTAGCTAACACAAGAGAAAGTAAAAGCTAAAGACTCACATTTGCTCAACCAAGGCAGGAGAGCGAGTTTTGGTTCCGGCTTTGTCAGTTTCTAACTGTGCCCTGATCCGGCCTTCAACTGTTCTCATCTGTAAAATTAAAAGCATTCAATTGAAATTTAAAAACTTTCATCTCTGGATCTAAATATATCCTAACTACAAGGTCTTGTTATTTTTAACTTAGACCAAGTGTAAACAAGCCATCTTTTAAGAGGATGTACTCTGCCAGACCTGGGTTCCTGCCAAACTTCCTTCCAGAAGTGTTCATTCCAAGGCCCACTTTATCAAGAATTAATCTGACAAATTAGGGGTTAGCACTCAGGGGGTTAAGAGCATCAGTGTGAGAATTAGACATAATTCAGTCCACAGTAGGAATTTGCCAGTTATATTAATGAAGGCAATAGGAGTGAAAAACGTATTACCAAATTAAAGGCTAACACTTCTATGTGTTAGATGAATATTCTTGTTGTGGTGCTTGAACTCTGGGCCTGGGTGTTGTTCCTCAGCTCTTCAGCTCAAGGCTAGTGCTCTACCACTTGAACCATAGTGCCACTTCTGCTTTCCTTGTGGTTTATTGGAGGTAAGAGTCTCACAAACTTTACTGCCCAGGCTGGCTTTGAACCGTAATCCTCAGATCTCAGCCTCCTGAGTAGCTAGGATTACAGGCGTGAGCCACTGGCGCCCAGCTGGTATTTTCTTTTGTGTTGGTACTGGGACTTGAACTCAGCCTGGAAGCTGTCCTTTGATTTTTTTCTTTTTTCTCAAGGATGTCACTACTACTTAAGCCACAGCCCTACTTCTGGCTTTTTGGTGGTTAATTTAAGTCTCCTGGACTTTCCTGCCTGGGCCAGCTTTGAACTATGATCCTCAGATCTCTGCCTTCTGAATAGCTAGGATTATAGGTGTGAACCACCAATGCCTGGCAGGTTTTTTCCCAGAGGGAAAAAAAAATTAGTTATTTCTCACGAAAGAAGCATAAAGCTAAAGAAAATGGGCATTTCTACCTAGCTACCTATATATACAAGTCTCGAGGCAGAAGGAAAAGACAGGCCTACCACACAGGGGGTAGGTTAACCTTTCACTGCTCCAACCTGGAGCTGCACCAGCGCAGCTGGTTGCCTAGTATACCAGCCTCAGTGTAAAAGACAGAAGCTTGAATTGTTTGAGCTCCAGAACAAGGAATGAGCAATGACTGAATAAAAGATGACAGAAGAATAGGCATATTATTTCTAGGCCGGGTGCAGAGGTTCATGCTTGTAACCCTAGCTAGAGGATGCAGAGACTGGGGCAGAAAGGAGTCATGCTAACTCATGATGGCATGGATGAGTCTTGAAAACACCATGCTAAGCAAAGAAACCAGTCACCAAGTACTACCTACACCATACAAAACCAGAATTGCAGACCTACGGCATCAAGAGAGAAAGTCAATTTGTGTTGCCAGGAGCTGAAGAGGGAGTCAACTGCTAACTAGTAGTTTGATGGCAGTAAAAAACTAGTCTAAAATTAGACTGCAGGAATGGGTGTATAATGATGTGAATCGACCAACAATGCCGAATTGTACAGGTGCACATGGGTGAATTTTATGGCATGTGAACTTATAGCTCAAGTCATTTAAAAACAGAAAAAGCCCCAGAGGAGAGGGGAGTAATGAGTCTTCAGAGACTACTTATTCAGGGGAAAAGAAAAAAAATTGGGGAGGGGAGGTAGGTGTCTAATGCTCTGCATTTATCACACTAGAAACTGCCTTCCCAAGCCACACATTCTAATAAATACACCACCATCCTAAATTAAGAATGAGTTTCAAAGGGCTGCTGTACTGAGCTCAAACCTCACTGACACTCAGATCACTGGGGGCTTGGGCAGCAGTGACTAGGACCCAGCATGGGCTGGGAAGTTGGATCAGTGGTAGAGTGCTTGCCTTGCATGCCTGAGGCCCTGGGTTCAATTCCTCAGCACCACATAAGCAAAAAGCCAGAAGTGGCACTGTGGCTCAAGTGGTAGAGCACTAGCCTTGAGCTGAAGAGCTGAGGGACAGCGCTCAGGCCCAGAGTTCAGGCCCCA